TGCACTATAATGTGACCCACTTTAGCTTTGCAGTTTCAAAGTCGATCATATGGTTTGTTATACGCTCAGATTGCTTGCATATAAAGGTTTACACTAGATAGAGAGATGATTTGGCATAACTTTTCCATAAGGTTTTGTGTAATACATGTTCGATATATACATGTATATCATTTGGTCTTTTTTATTTCATTATAGTTTATACTAGTAGTTGATTATTGTTGCATACCAGCTTGATCCTCACATTGCAACAAGGAAATACTGATTTCATCGTTCAGCTAACAGTAAGGTAATCAAGTCTCCTACTAATTTGAATTTTCAAGAGATTTAGCTGTAAAATGTAGGGAAAATGCAGGGTTTTTTTTATCCATTACTGCATTGACATCTACAAACCAGTAAAAGTCTGAAATAGGCACTTTTTGTACTCGATTGTACTTATTTTTACTCGGCCATTCTGAATTGGTCCGAATGTTACTCGATATTACTTAACTCTAGTCCGAAGCATACTAAACGTTTTACATTTGTCATTTAGGGGCCTTTTATAGCTGACTATGCGGTATGGGTTTTATTCATTGTGGAAGGTTGCACGGTGACCTATAGTTGTTACCTTCTGTGTCATTTGGTCTCTAGTTAAAGAGGTTGTTTCATTGGCAATCATACCACATCTTCTAATTTATAACAGTCTGAACTTGTACTCGACCGATATCTTGACCATACTGGAAAGTCTGAACTCTTACTCGACCAGGCTGAAACATTTTTAAACTGTAGTTGACCAGTGATTAATTGTTCTAGACCTGTTTTCAATGTCTTAACATTACCATAGAAATTTAAGGCCTGAACCATACTCGACTAAAGTTTGAACCATAGTCGACCAAAGTCTGAACCTTATCTAACAAATTAACCTCTACTTTATTAATCTTGAATGTATTTTTAAAGCTATAATTTATCCAACAATAAACCACTTATTTTTCGTCATATTTCTAGCAAATTGAAACATATGTTGTAAAAATGAGACTATAAATCGAAAAAAATAATAGAGATAGATTAAGAATAGGTCGAGAATTGTAAAAACTTAGTCGAGTATGGTTTAGACTTGCTCTAGGATGGTTCAGACTTGGTCGAGTATAATTCAGACTTGGTCGAGTATGATTCAGACTTGGGTCGAGCAATTATGATTCAGCCACTTTCAAATGGTTAAGTACTGGTGGAGTACACGTTGAGTACAAGTTCCGATTGTTTAGTAAGGTTAAGACTAGAGTAAGGTAATATCGGGTAAAATTCAGACCAATTTGGAATGGTCGAGTAAAAATCAGCACAGTCTAGTACAAATACTATCAATTTCAGGACTTTGCTGGTTTACTGGTTATGATTTGATAGACATACTTTAAATTTCGGATCAGAAACTCACCATACCAATTTGGTTTAATATTAATGCAAACACTTCCAATTGATAAACTGCCATAAAAAAGCTAATTTAGACTCAGTACGGAACCTTTTTAAATCGAATGTCATTTCAAAGCTGTCTTATGAGGTACCGACTATTACACTGGCAATGTAAAAGTAGCAAAAATAAAGGCAACCGAAGTAAAAATGATCAAACAGAAATTCAAACTCCAAAATGTATTTAAGACAACTATCAAGGTTTTACTCGTATCAAATTTTCGGTAAGGTCAATTGAATTATTTTAAGATAGAGCAAATATAGACGTATGATGAAATGTTGGGAGACGATTCCTTTTCATAACGACACTTTTTACATTAACTTTCATAATCTGCTGCTTTTACCTATTCATTTTGCTCAAATTTTAACCGGACCAAGAGTTATACTGGATTTTTTTTCTCGCAAAATTAAAAGGACTGCCTTTTTATATCAAATTTCATCTTAGCCCAAACCTCCCCTCGCCTCTAACCCCATAACAATCAAATGATTGCTGCCTAAGTAAGCGGGAGTATAACAAAATAAAACATGACTTATAAAAAATTAACGGACAAATATCCAAGTTAGAAATGGAAATTCAAGTATAGTGTGCTCATAGCATATAAAATGAATTTGGATTCGAAAAATGAGCAAGCCATGTAAGTACGTTAAAACTATAAGATTATTCGATAATGACATCTTTAAATAAAGAATTTCCATGTAACATCCAACAGTGAAAACATCAAAAAGTTTATCATCATTCAATCTACAGAATGTAAGAAATTAACAAAATAAGTTGAAACAAGACCGACTAGATCTATAAGACTTTAGTTTAAATACATGATTATTTTATTAGTTGTTATTGGCTTTGAACTAGCTGTCAGTAACTGCGAGTACTCTCAGATCTGAACTTACTGTCTTTTTTGTTGTAAGGATGCATAAATACAATGTCACGTCTGGTCTGTGTTTTTGGTGCTTGTTTTTCTGCTTTGTATCGATCTGATGAGTTAAGCCCTTTTTCAACTGATTTTTACACCACTGTCCAAGGTTAGGGGAGGGTTTAACCCTGACACATTCTGTTTATGCCTGTCCCAAGTCAGGAACCTGTAATTCAGTGGTTGTGTTTTCGTTTCTGTATATCATATTAGTTTGTTTTTCGTTTATGTTTTGTACAGTTTTTTCTTGTGTTGTGATGTCGTACCACTCTCCCAGGTTAGGGAAAGGATTAGGCGCCCGACAAAATGTTTAACCCCGCAACATTCTGTATGTGCCGGCCCCAAGTCAGGATCCTGTCATTCAGTGGTTGTCATTTGTTGTTGACACAACTTGTATATCATATTTGTATTTCGTTCATTGTTTTTCTTTTTTTTACATAAATCAGGCCGTTAGTTTTCTCGTTTGAATTGTTTTATATTTGTCATTTCGGGGCCTTTTAAAGCTGACTATACAGCATAGATTTTGTTCATTGTTAAGGGCCGTACGGTGTACCTATAGTTTGTAACTTCTATGTCATTTGGTCTCTGGTGGAGAGTTGTTTCATTGGCAATTATACCTCATCTTGTTATTTTTATATAGACCATGGTTAAAAGAAAAATGACAAAAGTGAAACAAACACCAGTCAACATAACACTACCTAGAAAATAAAAGATTGAGCAAGAAGACTGGGGATGAACTCGGATACCATGAAGAAAAATTCTGTCTTTATATTGTACCATACGCCAAAACGTTTAAATAATGGTTTAAGATTCCAATAGAAACAACTATATACCATAGACATAAATCATAGAAAGATAAATTATTGAAAATAATCTTTACGGGATGTGGAGTAGGATCTGCTTACCCCTCCGAAGCACCTGAAATCACACCCGGTGTATGGATGGATTCGTGTTTTACTCAGTCTTAAGTTTTTTATTTGGTGTTTTGTGTACTGTTGTTTGTCTTTTCTTCGTTTTTTGTTTTTTGCCATGACATTTTCAGTTTGTGTTCGACTTCGAGTTTGAATGTCCCTTTTGGTATCTTTCCCTCTCCTTAACCAATGTATACTTCTTCACCTAAATCATTATTACTTTGTACAATTCCAAGTAGTATATCCTTAACCTGAATTAAAATTATTTTTGTTTGTGCATGCGGATTATCTAACATTAACTTTAAGCAACATATACAATCATGGTATATCACAAGTCGAAATGACAGAATTAATTTAAGTGAGAAACAATTCATAGCTTTTGTTCATAATAAAGATACCATTCGTATTTCTGTTTTTACTGTTATTAATATACCGAGGGACTTTTCATTTCTCTCCTCGTCTTGATGATACTTTCATCTTAGCTGCTTATTCAATATACATGATATAGATTGTTACCCATTTTAATCGGATATTTTCTAATATGAGAAACATCATCAGCAAATTAGGGTTGTACGGCTGTGATGTCATGTATTCTAAAAGGGGGACTATAGAAGTACCAATCATGCTAGATATGGTTAAAATATCCAAACGGATTGCAACTTTACTGTTTAACATGTGCGTAGCTGTGTGACATATGTTTTTGTTATTTCTCTATTCCCACAGCAAAACATTGAGCATACATATTGGATAGTTTGCAACATCAAAATCTCCTATGCAGTCTCGTTAGAATGGAAGGCATTCTAATTACACTGATCTTACAGTTCACTATTTCATTTTTAATTACACACACGATAATAAACACACACGATAGATGCTCTAAAGAGCCTGTGTCGCTCACCTAGGTCTATGTGCATATTCAACAAGGGACTTTCTCCAACATTGTAGACAAGAAAAGAATTCATGACAAAAAATTCTTTTTTGTTGATCTTGTATTGCTGATCATTTTGTCTGTTTAGTTTCTGTCTATCTTATTTAAGTTTTGCTCAAAACACTAAAGATGGTACAAATCATCATCAGAGGGCAATAGCTCTAATTAGAAGTAGACTGACGATTTCACCATGCATACTTATTCGTAGATCTTGTCTTGCTGATCATTAATGCAACTTATAGTTTTTGGTAGAGCTTAACATTTTGAACATTTTGGCTTGTCAGATTTTCTCAATTTATAACGGTTTTCAAACTAATAGACGCAACTTGAATTTTTTCCTATGTTCTATTTTCAGCTGAATGTAAAGGAAGGGGTATGGCGATGTTGCCGATCGGAAGAGTTTAGATGATTAAATTCGAGTTCGATCCCAGGTTAGGAAGGAAGAAAGAAGTTAAGATCTACTCATACATTGTCAAGGCGAATTTAAACTGATCCGAAAAGTTCCACTGCATTTATCTTCATTTTCACTAAAAAAGGAAATTTGATAAACAACTTATAATCAAATCACTTTAGCATGTAATCAATACTCAGGAAAGATTTAATGGTGCATAATTCGAAATAATGAATTAAATATAGAATGTGGATTTGAAAAGAACAATGCAAAATCAGATATATAGATATATTTATTTTTTAATCAACGAATTAAACTGTCCGCATCATCATCGCAGCATATTTCAGAGAATATTCGGAACCCTTCCATTCTTGCAACTGTATAAGACTCTCTCCAGTCAGACCTTCCTTATTGTTTGTATATCATAATGTAAAGCAGACAGATTCACATGCTTGAAACCACCAACCGCCGCCAACTCTATGACTGAATAATGCACAGTTGTCTTTATATACATCATTGTCTTGGTCAGGTGTTCTGAATTTCTTTCCGTTGTGTTCAGCAGCTCCAAAAGTATCGCCTAGAAAATAAAATTGAACGAAGTTTGTTTTGATTGAATCTAAAGTTTACGAAGTATCTTTTTGTTATACATTGTATTTAAAATGCGTCTAGACATGCAACGTTTTGAAGTATAACATACAGTGTTTATACTTTTCTTTTGTTGAACACCGTAGATCGTTTTTCCTGGTCTTATTATGCTGTTAAGTTGCTTTCGCATTGATACACAACCCGATATATATATATAGACAATGAAATTGGTAACATTATTTCGAAAACAAAGGAATCTTTAAACGTGTACATAAGCCATAAGCGTCTATTGACAGAAGAAAAATAAATAAATTAAAATTAAAAATAAATAAAAATTAGAATGAACAAATTAAAAAACAAAACGCACAAAACAAGACAGATCAGAATTAGACGTACATCTGACCTGGGAACAGTATATCTAACATATATATGTTCCTGATCTGACTTAAAACTTAATACTATGAAATTGACTATATAAAAATAATAAATAAAATCAGTCCTTCATCAATTTTCACTCAAAATTTGAAGGAAAGCATAATATTGTTATCGTTATTACCGGCATTTCCAGAATATCCACCAATTGTCAGTTTATATTTCGATCCAGCATCTCCCACCTTGAATGTTGATTTTTTGGCATACCTCTTTTTACCTTTAAAATTTCCTGTGTCTACTCTCATTTCAGTATTTCGAATTGAAGTCAGTATATGGAGATATTTGTTTCCTATAAAACGTGGGAAAAACAAATCATTTCCTGTGATTAATTATTTACTATAATATGTCAAGACTATAGGTTTATAGATACCCATCCTTACCAAAAGAGTTTTTGGTTGGGTTCGTGTTGCTCAGTCTTTATTTTTCTATGTTGTGTTTTGTGTACTATTGTTTGTCTGTTGGTCTTTTTCTTTTTTAGCCATGGCGTTGTCAGTTTATTTTCGACTTATGAGTTTGAATGTCCCTCTGTAATCTTCGCCTCTCTCTTCATATTAAAATTATGGAAATGACAAGATAATCGTTTTAGGAGTAATACCGTATAGCGTTTATTTTCGCGGGGTGTAAATTTTCGCTTATTTTCGCGGATAGAACAAAATCGCCAAAATAAATTCCGCCAATTTAAAAGTGCACATGCAAAGGTATTGATAAAAGTTTTGAATCCGCCAAAATAATAACCGCCAAAATATTTCGTATGCCTAATTAAATGAAAATCGGGAAATTTTACACCCGCGAAAATAACCCGCTATACGGTACCACCATTGATTTTTCCCTATTAATTTTTGTTAGATTTACACTTTTCAAAAAATTGTGCAAAATTTATCTTTGTTTTAAATAAAGAAATACTTGGCATGAGTAAAATTTTATCCTGTTGAGTATTACAGTAAAAAGTTCAAATTTTCACACCTGTTTACAAGCTTTAGTAACCATGTCACCTGAAGTTTCCGAAATATTTTTTAGAAGCAGCAAATAAAACAATGGTGCTTTTAAACACCCAAGATATATGTTTTGACTCAATTTATTTTTGCAATGAAATGCAGGGTTAATTTCCTACAACTGTCAAAATCAAAGGAATATTTTTTTGATTTGGTGGTATTACAACTAGATAACTGAAAAGCAACGAATTAATGTTAAAATTTTTAAAGTAACATTGCAAATACAATCTAGTGTACCTCCAAGAAGATGTGGCAGTTTACTTCAAGATTTATTCAAATCAAATTATGCATAGAGCTAAAGTAAAGGGTAGGATGTAAAGTGGCTGTTCATTAGACAAACATGTCATTTAATACCAGAAATAACGATTATACCAAATCAATAATTATCTTTCAATAATAAAAAAAAAAAAACATTGAAACAAACAAACGGGGAAAGATGTCACAATTAGGAAGAATAAGACTGGAACTCGACTACAAAAAAGACGAAAACATCTGTGTCCTTCTGTGACACAGATACTCCAAACGACCACACAAATCACGATGCCATCTGTTAAACTTTCAAACAGATGACGTCAAATTACCAATTGGGATTATTGCTTGAATTGTTTTCTTGTAAGCCATGTATCGAGGAAGTCATGACAGGAAGAATTGGTTTTCATAGTTGTTTTTAACGGCTTTTATAAGGTCGTCAACAGTGAATCCAAAAGATCACATAAAACAGGTATTGACGAAATGAAACTTCTCGTGAATCATTGTCAAACTTACTTGGAACAATTGTGCGTCCCCTTATGCTCCCTATTGCAAACGGACACACTTCCATACAAGGAATACATGTACTTCATATATATAGTTTTAGAATCGTGTAGTGTGATTATGAAAATTATCAATAAGGCAATTCACATACTGATGTCATTAACAATGTAAACAGAATGCTTTAATCTTCAATCATCTAAGGCAAAAGTTTTATATTCGTGTGTACAGTAAAGTTTACCAAAACCATTCCATAAACTTTCAAGTTAATTTAAGAGAAGACAAGGACAAAGATTCCTGAAATGCACAACGAGTAAAATGAACTTCATAAACGTTATATACTGTTACCTATATTGCATATACCAGATTATGTGAAAACAGTGAATGGAACAGCTAGATAAGATAAAGTGTGATGCAGAGCTCCAGATAAGAATTCACAAATTGGGGTTTTTACCCACCATTTTGTTTATGTAATTGGGTGATAAAGTTTTTTAATTGCATTATCAATTCCAATTCACCCCTCAAGCAAATATCAAATTGGGTTTTTCACCACCAAGCTCCTTAATGTATTGGGTTTTTTCATCAACACAATATTGAATATTTAGGCATGTTATAATCACATTATATCAACCCCAGATGTGTTTCCATCTTAAATGTGTTTCTTTCTTTGTAGAATATGTGCTAGCTGTTTTATTTGGTTTATTCACTGACGAGCAATTGTACATTTAATTTGTGTACCGTTTTAAACGTTCTGTCAGTTTTGTATTTTCTCAAAACTTATGTAAACTGCAGCTGGTGTCACTAGTTGGACAGGAACTAATTGCCTTTCTAGATCCCATATGATCACCCTACAGTTTAATTATAGTTGGGGTAGGTGTGACTAAGTGTTTAGATTTTTGTGTAATATATGTGAAATTTAGGTGCTGTAAGAAAGTTTTGCCAGTCCTTTCACCTATTTGCCAGATCTACTTTTTAATAAAAATAAAAAGTAGTTTCCAGATTTAAGATATACCCCCCAAAACCTTGAGGTTTATAGGGTGGTTTATAATGACGGAGACCACATTCAACTTAAATTTACAAATAATTCTGCAACATCAAGTAAATAAATGACAATGTTATACTGCACTTGCCAATAAGACAACTATCTTAAGCATCTAGAACAATTAGACCAAAAACAAAGAAAGTGTCAAGCTGCATTGACGTAAAAAACGGATATGTGTATTCACTCATCAACTAAAATGAAAAAAATAATATATGAACTGTTTTCGTTTAATTCAATTTACATAAATCTGAGTTAAGTTGTCCCTTATCAGAACTTGTGGTTTCCGATGCTTTCAAACTACATATCATGTCATAATTGATTTGGCCTTTCACTTTTTCCAACTGATTTTTTTTTTGACGGAACCCCGTGTTTATCGCTCTAGCAATGTTCTCGTTATGGTACGCAAACACGCCCGTGCGTTCAATTGCCGCTTCCTAAAATCACTAGCTGAGTCTTGTTATCATCATAACTTTCCCTCAGCTATCAAAAAGAAGCCGAAAACATGCTTCTATTCAATATTTTTACCGGACATTTACTTTCGTTTTAATTCATTGTATGTTATGATAATGCCCGAGCAATTCGAAAAAATATGACAGCTAATTGGATAAACGCCGAGAAGATCGAAATGTTTTCATAAACACGTGTACCTTTTGAGCAACGGAAAATTCCAACAGGGACCCATTACAGCTACTTGATGCAGGGCTCTATTTTTAGAACGAAAGGACATTTCCAATTATAAATATTATAAAAATAGATTTACGCGACGACTGTAATCAAGTAAGGGTAAATAACGCAAACAATAGCGAATAAAAGCGTTAAGAACCCATGTTTTTGGCATATAATTGGGTTTTCCTTTGAATTAATTGGGTTATTGAACCCTGCAATTGGCAATTGCATTGGGTTTTTAATTATTTTTATTGCGTGATCACGCAAATACGCAGCTTATCTGGAGCTCTGAGTGATGTATATGGTGAATTGGTATGTGTTAAACCTTTTCATGAATGGAACGAAAGAAAATGAAAAGATGGCTCAAAGTTTATGTCAAACTATTTAAACAACAATAACAAAAAATGAAGAAAAGAAAGTATAGTGCTTAACTTACCTAACCAAAATTCCCGATTTAAATCTCCAAAACCATTTTCATATTCTATCCATTTTTTTTTATTAAAATTCTTAGAACCATCGATTCTTCTGATAAGAACATTGATATGTTAAATATATATATCAGATTGCTGTGTATCCGGAAACACAGTAGATTTGAACATGTCAATCAATATATATTTTGTTTAATTTTATGTATAAATCCAAGAAATAATATATGAATGAGAGTTTGTTGAAAGAATTCCTAAACATTTTTATAGTCCTATTTCGATGTCTAAACGATGGACCCTTTTAGATGTTCCTGTTTGTTTATATATATATATATATATATTTACTGATGGTGGGTTTTTATATAACTTATTTATCATGGCATCTATGGTACTATCTCATTTTCCAGGGATGATCTCAAGATTGCTTGGGCGAGGATTGGTGGCCAACAATTGATTTTTACACATTTTGCTAATTTTTGACCACCATGTCGCTTATTGTTCTGTTGGTCCCTCCTCTTCCTCTTTTTTGAAATCATAGATCCGTTACTGGTGTAAAAATTTCATGCTAAGGCTTTCTTGAAATTTGCGTCTCCAAGTGAAAGTGCAGAAATATATCATGTTTGATATCTTTAAAAAAGACGGGAGGAAGGAAGATACCAAAGGTATATGCAACTATAAATAAGTTAAATTCTCAGATAACTTACTGTCCAGGGCCCATCGTCGATCGTCACATCACAGTAAACCTTGAATCCCCTTCCGGCACTGGGATATATTCTATACACCCAACTGGTGTCATGTTTAGGGTCTAAGTCTGAACAGTCCATTGGTTTACGCACTGTTTAGTAAATTAAACAAAAAGATATATATACATCATGTGAATAAATTAAAGAAAATGTAGGAAACACGTCAAAAGATACATATGTCTATGTCAATAATTGAAAAAAATGTCGATCATAAAAATAAGAAGTTTTATATTGTGGTTGAAAGATCATTATTTGCGTTGAATAAAAACTCATTCTTTTTGTATTGACTAGATGGCGTAAATTGAACGCAAAAAGACAACGTAAACGTGTTATATGAGTTTTTCTTTTAATATTGTGTCCTCATCTGAAGAATCAACTGTCCTGAATTTCCGAACTCTTTCAGCAGTCGCTCCATAAAAACAAACACCTGTAAAATATGAGAAAATTTATGTGGAGTTGCACATCGGTTACCAAGTGAATAACTTGATTATAGCATAACTAAATATGTTTTCCTATATATTATACAGTTATGAACACTTACGATCTTGCATCCTGTCGATACTTATTTTGCTCTTTTAATACATTAAACCCATTGAACGTGTATTGATTGATATTTTAGTCTGGGAAGCATGATTTATGTATTAGCTGTAATTCGCTTTGATCTAGCTTTCGGTAACTGCTAGTACTCTCATATTCGGTACGCTGTATCTTATATCTTTTTCTCAGTTCTTTTTATGTTTTATGTCGATTTGATGAATAAGCCTTTTTTAACAAATCTTTACAGTGTGTTCTTATGTTGTGCTGTTACGCCGCTGTCCCGGGCTAGGGTAGGGTGAGGCTCTCGCAAACATGCTTCATCCCACCATATTCTGTATATGGTTGCCTCATGTCAGGAATGTGTTATTCAGTGGTTGATGTCGCTAGCTTTTTATCATATTTGTTTTTCGCTATTTATTTTGTACATAAATCAGGCCTTGATAATAAACACTTGGTAAAGTTTCCGTCCACACAAAATGTTCTGCTGGAATCTATTTCATCAAATATGTTATGAGTAAAGCAAAAACATAAAACGTTGAAGAACATCTAAAATGTTACAAATGTTTTGTTTAATGATTGATGAATACGCACACTCATTCATTAGAACAAGTCACGCACTATGTTGTCAAAATGAGCATATAACATTACATTTTATTTCCAGTCAGAGGTCTGTTGCAAAAGGTAACTTCATTTTGTCTGATAATTTCTCACATCAAATGTGAATGCTTACCCGAATCATATGATGACCTGACTATGTGTTTGTTTAAAATAGTACCCGATGCAACCAACACACTTAAGTTAGTAAGAATAATCCAAACAGAAATATTTCTTGCCATTTTATCACACAAAACGTAGAAACGTATATCTGGCACCATTTTATACTTTCAGAATAAATAGATATGCTTGCGTGATACGACTAATGCAACAGTCGGTAACAACGAGGTATTTGGATGAAAACGATATTTTCTGATGTTCTGGAACACGGACGTCATCATGAGTTGGTTGATCGTTACGGAATATCTGTTTCACAGATGACAACGGATATGTTACAATTCTCGAAACCACAATCCCGTCCTCTTTTTCTCGAATGGGACCTACCGAATTATACTTATCACCGGGTTTGTACTTACATGAGCAACACGACGGGTGGAGCAGAATCTACTTATCTTTCCGAAACACCAAATATCACCTTTTTTTTTGGTGCATGGGGTTCATGTTGCTCAGTCCTTAGTTTGCTATGTTGTGTTTTGTATATTGCTGTTTTTTTTTTGTCTTTTCTTTTTGCATGGTATTGTAAGTTCGTTTTCGACTGATGAGTTGGATTATCCCTTTGGTATCTTTCGCCTCTCAATTTATTGTTAATAATTACTGCAACAATGAAAAGTTAAACAGAAGTCTCTTTTTAAATATAAATAAAAGAAGCTGTTAGGAATACGCCAATAAGACAGCAACGCAACGACCAAAATAACCATACGCGATTTAAAGAGAAACATTCAGTCTTCAACCTACATCGTACGTTAATGGTTTGAAATCTTGAAATAAACATAGACTGTGCGGTATCTACACTGATAGAGGAGCGTAGATATGAAATTATCGGCTCTGTTAATAGTCATCAACAACAAACAGCTGTCTATACAAAACGTCTATCTCTAAATTGACTTTTAAAAAATACTATTTCAAATATTAGGCTTTGAGCGCTCCTGATGAAGGTAAATCCAGGATGCATGCAATTTATAACGTGTTGTTTTCATTTTTTACAGCACTTGGTTGATACCTCTGCTGGTGGACTATCAGTCTCCCGAGGGTATTATCAGCTCAGTAATCAGTACGTCGGTACTGACATGATTTAGAACTAACTTTTCTAAAATTGTTCGTTTATAAATTAAGAAATTTATCAAAAAAAAGGTTTCAACTTCCTCAGGCAAAGTTAACCTTAGATGGATTTGGCTATTTTTTCGGTCCTTTTTGGTTATATAGCTCTTCAACTGTTTCGGTTCTTATACATTCTTGGCTTTCAAATATTAGGCTTCAAACGTTCCGGATGATGGTAAATCCAGAAAAGTGCTTCTGACGCATTAAATTTATAACGTATTTTTTTCATTTGTTTTGTATTGTACAATAATTTTAGCCCATTTTTTCACAATTTGTTCCTCTCCTTATTGAGGAACACATTTATGTCCCCAGATGATGCTTTAATAAATAACTTATGTTATAGATATGATTTATTCCTACTAAGTTGGATTATGTCTTTTATAAAATTTCAAAATTTTAATACATTTCGGTAGATTTGACGTAAAATGAGTTTAATTTAGAATTTATTACAATGTTTCACATCTATAAGATCTTAATCCTTGATATTATTTTGAAAATATTTTTTTGTTTTCATAAATATACAGTTTGCTAAATAATTGAACCACAATTATATCAAAATTATACCTTAGTTTTGTAAAAGAACATTTACCAAAGGTCAGGTATTAAATTATTCTTATAATAAGACAGTGTAAATTGTATGTATCCAGATTCAAATTCTATGGGCCATAAAATATATGAAGGACAAAGAAGCACCCGTTCAATCTGTGTACTAAAACATGTTGTGCTCATTAAAATGATTCATCTTGAAACGGATCAGAAACACTGAATGAAACATAAAGTTTGTTGACTGGTTGTTTTCTTCTTTTTCTGTCGCTAAGCTGCTTTCTCATTGACGTGGGACAACCTCTAGTTAATCTATTTGAGAATATTATATTCGCTCAATTGCGTAAATAGTGTCACTAGGTTTTCCCGTTGGTCAATTTCTTTTTCCTCCCAAACAAAAATCATTTTAAAGCATTGTCGAATCGTTTATTAATAATCGATATAGTGTTATAAATAAACACTCGATTGTAACAAACATTTCTTGTAATTTAAAAAAAAAAATACTGTTCTAGGAATACGGGATTCATCTTAAATCAGTTTTTGTGGATACGTCATGACTAGTTAAAGGACAAAAAGTAAAATCAGCATTTTTTATTACTTTAAAATCTTTTTCTTCAATACAACAGTTTTCTTTTCCGGACCATCGTTTGAAGTAAAAGTTAGACGTAAAACTATGCTTAAAATATGTGCGCAGCTAAAGACAATTGTGAAATACCCAATTTGAATCAATTATTTTTATTAAAAATTGTAAAAAAAAAACCTTTTGGTGACATGTGACGCCAATTTACCATAAAATTTCATTAGACAAATCAATTCACACCTTTCTTAATAAGTCAATTGTGTCACATGTGCCTCTATTAAATGGGAATGACAAATATTTCCCAAACGCAATTTTCAAATGTACCAAAATTAATACTGTTTCAAAATAACAACATTAACGGTAGTTCGGTGGTACTTTATACCACAATGATAGGTGATGTCACCGAACAATTAAGATTATGATACAATTCGAAATAATACATGAATGTGAATTTGAAAAGAACAAAGCAAAATCAGATATTTTTTTTTATTTTTTTCAACAACGAATTAAACTCTCCGCATCATCATCACAGCATATTTCAGGGAATATCTGGAACCCTTCCAACTTTCCCATTGTATAAGATTCTCTCCAGTCAGACCTTCCTTATTTTTTGCATATGATAATGTAAAGCAGGAAGCATCACATTCATTGAACCACCAACCGCCACCAATTCGTTTATGAATTAAAGCACAGTTTGTTCTATATTTATCATTGTCTTGATCAGGTGTCGTGAACTTCATTCCGTTGTGAGTATGTGCAAAAGAATCGCCTGGAATATAAAATTGACCCAATTTTTATTCGAAGGAAGTTTTTAAGTTTTAGTAATAAGTATTTGTTTTATTTGAAATTTTGTTTAGACATTCAACTTTTTTGAGTAAAACATATCACCCTCATGCAAAGAAAGCTCTGATTCCTTTTCCAAATTTGGGTATACCTTAGGTTCATTTTGGTTGATCAGCTTTCCAAAGTTTGTTTAAGATTTTGCATTATCAAATAATTTGGTCTCGAGATTCACTAAAGAAACATTAATTGCCGAAATGCGCACAAGCTGGTGAAGTAAAATTGGTAATGTTTATGTTGTTAATACAGTATATATTCTGAACACCGTAGATCTGATCATATTATGTCGTGGTTGTTGAGTTGCAGTCTCAATGATGCATACCCTAATATATATAAACCATAACATGAAATTGGAGAAAAAAAATTTCAAACACAAAAGATTTTTTTTAACGTTTTCGGAAGCGTCGAAATACGAAAATTTGGAAAAATTACGATAAACAAATTAAAAGAAAACATGTATGACACAAAACAAGACAGATCAGAATTAGACGTACATCTGACTTAAAAAGCTTAATACATTGACTGTATTAAAAGAAAGCATACGTTTTACGTCATAACTTCTTCATGAATGTTTACTCCCAATTTGAAGGAAATCTAGTTCATTTGTATATTGTTAACGTCATTACCAGCATTTCCAGAATATCCACCAACTGTCAGTTTATATTTCGACCCAGTATCTCCAATCTTGAATGTTGAGTATTTGGCATACCTCTTTTCACCTTTAAAATTCTGTATGTCCACTCTCATTTCGGTATTTTTAGCTGAAGTCAGTATATGAAGATATTTGTTTCCTATAAAACGAGGGGGAAACATTTTTTTATTATTATTTATATTCTATATATCTTTGATGTGTCAAAGTAAAGACATTTTAGAACGGTCAAACAAATCACAGAAGGTATCGGTTTAACTCTCAAAGGGATGACGTAATCTTTACCATAAGAGGGCAACCACTGGATATTCTGAGGGGGGATTTTTTGCAGATTGACTACTCATTTTTGTCTGTTGTTATGTAAAATAGAAAAACAAAGGATATGGGGTATCCATCCATGATACAAAATCAGTACATGCACAGCATTCTTTTTCCCAGCGAAAAATAATTTTCACTTTTGTACACATTTGTTTCTGGCATTTTGTGTTGCAGAATATTCATTTCATACTGTCTTATGCTTGGTTATTTCTTTTCAGCTCTTACCAGACCAGGATATTTATTTTTAAAATCCTCCTGTCCCCTTGGAAATCAAATGGCCGTCCCCTTAGTGATTTTTGATTGAATATTTTTCTTGTAATCCCTCAAGGGGTCCGTAGGTGGCCTGTTGCAAGGCAAAAATTCTATTTGTATCCAATATACCCTCATTTTCCTGTGGCAGTCTAAAGGAATAAGTTCAGCACGGGTCATACTTGGCTCCGATTATTAAGTTCAATGTTTCAAGATAAAACATGTTTAAGTTGATTTAAAGACATGTGAAAATATTAAATTAAACTACTTTTGTCAACGTTTTATTTTAAAGCGTTGTTTTTTACTTCCCAGATAGGTCAAAAGTAGAGATTTTTGCGAAATTTCTCCGACCTTCATCCCGGATTGCTTCTATTAAAGGACTTACTTATTGTCTTTAGTATTAATTTGTTCTCGTCCTGCACATGCATGAACAATTTGTCAATGGACGTTACGTAAACAACAACCAACAATCATGTTATCCCTCAAAGAAAACATGGCAGGAAGAATTGTTTTTGTTTATAGTGATTAAGATTATTACACAATGTTGACTGCTGTACCCTTATTTTTGACATTTTTACCTACTATGTCTGTTTGTTTTGTTCACACATTGTTGTTAATATAATGGAATTTTATGCGACTGTCATACAAGTGAGAGGTTTAACTAGCTATAAAACTAGGTTTAATCCACCATTTTCTACATAAGGAAATGCCTGCACCAAGTCAGGAATATGACAGTTGTTTTCCATTCGTTGGATGTGTTTGAGCTTTTGATTTTGCCATTTGATAAGGGACTTCCCGATTTGAATTTTCCTTGGAGTTCGTTATTTTGTTATTTTACTTTTTTTTCATAATTTTTTTTATAAACGATGAACCCGAAATATCACACAATACAGGTATGGACAAATGAATCTTCTCATTAATTATCGTAAAGCTAACTGGAAACAATTTGCTTCCCTTCAGGCTCCAACTTTTAACTGGACACGCAAATACTAAGAAAACTACCAATTATGCAATTAATGTAGATGGGGGTCTAAATTAGAATCCATAGAATGTTTTAATAATTTGTCAAAATGTAGTTTATATCATGCTTTTTAGCTCACCGGGGCCCGAAGGGCCCCATGTGAGCTTATGCCATCACTTGGCGTCCGTCGTCTGTCGTCGTCGTCGTCTGTTGTCATCTGTCGTCGTCTGTCGTCGTCTTCTCCTCTGAAACTACTGGGCCAAATACCTTCAAACTTTAACTAAATGTTCCTTAGGGTATCTTGTTTATAAATTGTATCAGAAGTTTCGATCCATCGACAAACATGGCCGCCATGGCTAAAAATAGAACATAGGGGTCAAATGCAGTTTTTGGCTTATATCTCAAAAACTAAATCTTTTAGAGCAAATCTGACATGAGGTAAAATTGTTCAATTGGTCAAGATCTATCAGCTCTGAAATTTTCAGACGAATCTATCAAACCATTGTTGGGTTGCTGCCACCGAATTGGTAGTTTTAACAAAATTTTGCAGTTTTTTGTTATTAGTTTGAATATTACTATAGATATATATAAACTGTAAGCAGCAATAATGTTTAGCAAAGTAAGATCTACAAAAAAGTTAATATGACCATAATTGTCAATTGACCCCTTAAGGAGTTATTGCCCTTTAAAGACAATTTTACACAATTTGTTCATCAAGTTTGCTAACATTTAAAAATCTTCTCCTCTGGAACTACTGGGCCAATTACCTTCAAACTTTAACTAAATGTTTCTTAGGGTATCTTGTTTCTAAATTATATCCGAAGTTTGTATCCCTCGACAAACATGGCCGCCATGGCTAAAAATAGAACATAAGGGTCAAATGCAGTTTTTGGCTTATATCTCAAAAACTAAATCTTTTAGAGCAAATGTGACGGGATAAAATTGTTTAATTGGTCAAGATCTATCTGCCCTGAAATTTTCAGACGAATCGAACAACCCATTGTTGGGTTGCTGCCACCGAATTGGTAGTTTTAACAAAATTTTGCAGTTTTTTGTTATTATTTTGAATATTATTATAGATATATATAAACTGTAAGCAGCAATAATGTTCAGCAAAATAAGATCTACAAAAAAGTTAATATGATCATAATTGTCAATTGACCCCTTATTGCCCTTTAAAGACTATTTTACACAAGTTGTTCATCAAGTTTGCTAACATTTAAAAATCTTCTCCTCTGAAATACAGGTGAGCGATTCAGGCTCTTGAGAGCCTCTTGTTTCATAAATATAATAATAAGTATGGGTCACTTGACTTTTTTCACGCCACAGGTTGTGCAAAATTGTCAGATTTTGTATAAATAATGCATGGAAACCCTAATTTTGTGTGATAAAAAATAAAAACTAAACCAGAGAATTCTAAGATAAAATATGAGAAGATAGCTTTAATAATATGCTTTCAGCTACGAAAAAGAAAAATGGGGTCACCGGACTCGTTTTCTTGCTACATAACGAAATAGGTAAATTCATAACACATTCTATTATAAAAGTTACGTTCCTGAGTTATCTCCCCTTATGTGGTTAAGTTGAACACAATTGAATCAAACAAAATTATTCTGTTTTTTTTGTTGTTAAATACAGCCGTAAAATATAAAACACTTAATTTTCTATATTAACATGAAAAGTCTTACACATGAATTGCATACTACTATCGAAATTTGCACATTTCATCAAAGATCTAGACCGATTGTTATCTACTATTTCAAAATCAAAGATAAAGGAAGACACCCAGCTTCCTTAAGATAGGAATATGTCGTCATTAATAATGTAAAACAAAAGAACGTGTTCTTTAATGTTTTAGGGTTACAATTTTATCTCATTAAATAATGTGACTATAGTTCTTAACTTCTACGTCACTTGGTCTCTGGTTGAGAGTCATTGGCAATAATACTACATCTTCTTTTTTGGTATTATATTCAAAATCTAATTAATTTTCTCGAAATGTCAAAAAGAAACACATTGTGCTTGAATAATTGAATTTTTCGAACTTCCTTATTTTTTACAATTTCCCTAACATGGGTTTTCAAAACCTAGAAACACATAAGAAATAATACTGTTCTGCTATTGTATGACACAATGTACATGTGATATCTAGCTGTTCCATTCACTTTGTTTCTCAAAATCCGTTATTATGAAAATAAGTATTATGATCACATCGTTAGAGACAAACATAAGGTGTTATGGGTAAAAAATAAAGGCAACAGTAGTATACTGTGGTTCAATAGTCATCTATTCTACTTGTATTCATGATGTTAGGCTACCGGTCTGTTAAGAACCTGTTTTGTTTTATTCTCGATGTTCATTGTAATGGCGTGTTTAAAATAGTGATCCAAAAACTGTTCCCTTTATTTTTCAAACTAGTTTAGGATAAACGCACAAACATTCGTGAAATACACAATGTGTAAAATGGAACTTGCAGAAGTTATATACATGTTCTGGACTATATGAGTAATTGGACCATACGTGTATGGTCCGGGTAATAAATACGATGAACGTTAAACAGTTATTGTGTAAAGTATAACCTTTCGAGGTGTCATAAATAAAGAGTTTCTAAAAATGTAATTTTTACTTAGATAATAATTTGGTAATCATTGTTACGTGATTAATGATATAAATTTTAGTCACAAGTAAAAATTATAGTCGAAGCATTTTTGCATGGTCATTTTTAATTTGTCTTTACGAAACACAATATGTCGAATCCGAAAATAACTAAATGAATTGTTAATTAAGAAGTCAACTGTTTACGCATTAGCAATTGGAGCATTGAACCCTCCTTTTTCTTTATTTTTGGTGTTTCAATTTGTTTTTTGTAAATTAAAATCTCTTTAACATTTCAAATTATTTTTAGTTATTTCAAAATTTGTTCATGCTACTGTTTATACGATTTAGAATTACAGTGATTTATACGTGCTGTCCCTCTATTCTTGTGTAGAAACCACTGTTATTGTAAGATCGAGGGAATAAAAGTACTAACACGTCAGTTAAGTTAAAAAAAGTGGAAATTAGAAGAAATCAAAGACAATCTAATCTAAACGCCGGGAAACTGAAAAAAGTCCATGCCCAAAACACCAGTGGTTTACGTACGATCGAAACTGTCGACATGATAAAAGAGCTTAAAATTGACTCAAGATAGCGAAGGCAAGACAACATATATACCAAGATTTAGACAATTTGTAACAAAGATAACTGATTGCAGTTCAGAGAACGAGCTGTGTCTGCTAAGGAAGTTTGAATTTTTTTTTCGAAAATACCTATATGGTCTAAATACTCATATGGTCCGGCCCGTTAATAACCAAACGAGTATATACGTATATGGTTCGACCATAAGCGTATGAGCGGACCATATAAGTATACCCATATAGTCATGACCATATGCGTACGGTCCAAATACTCATATGGTCGTGAACATACCTATAGTGAATATAACAGATTCTGAGAAAAAAATCAATGGAACTGCGAGATAAGATAAAGTGTAATACGGCAAATTGATCTGTATTAAACCGTATAATAAATGCATAGTACTAAATGAAAAGAAACAAAAGCTCGAAGTTTATGTTAAACCCTTAAAAACAAAAACAATTAAGAAAAAAGAAAATAAAGTGATTGACTTACCTAACCAAAATTCTCGATTTAAATCTCCAAAACCATGTTCATATTCTATCCATTTTTTATTAAAACTCTGAGTACCATCCATTCGTCTGATAAGAACCTAGAAGTGTTAAAGATATATCAGATAAATGTTTGTCCGGAAAAAACATGAAATGTGTATTTGTCAATAAATATTTTGTTTAATTCTATGTGTAACACGTACAAGTTCCAAAAAATAATATGTGAATAAGAGTTTATTGTAAGAATGCTTAAACATTTTGATCTTTAAACGATGGACCTTTTTAATTTTTTCCTGTTTTTACATATATTATAGTGGTGGGGGTTTTATATAACTTATTGATCATGGCATCAGTGCTTTCTAATTTGGTAATTTTATGGGATGGATCTCGGGATGGCTAGGGCGAGGTGTTGTGGCAAAAAATATTTTTACACAATTTTCTGATTTTTGACCACACATGCCTGTTATTTATCGGTTAGTCGTTCCTCCTCTTGATTTATGAAAATCATGATCCGTTACTGCTGTTATAGTTTCATGCTAAGGCTTACTTGCGAGTTTTGTATGCAAGTGAAAGTGTGGTAATTCATCACGTTTAATATCTTAAAAACAAGACGGAAGGAAGGAAGATACCAAAATGAATATGCAACTTAGACGAGTAAGAACATTCAATATATAGACCGAAAAGATAGAAATTTAAAATTACAATATCAATTCAATGACAAAGTTGTGGGGAAATCAGTTTAAAACCTTCTGTGCATACAAATAAATTAATAATAAATCAGTCGTATTAAATCAAAATCGTTATTTTTCATCTAATTTTAAAAGTATGAATAAAGTTAAATCCGCAGATAACTTACTGTCCAGCGCCCACCGTCGGTTTTCATGTCACAATAAACCTTGAATCTTTTTCCGGTAGTGGGATATATTCTATACACCCCACTGATGTCATGCTTAGGGTCCAAGTCTGAACAGTCCTTTGGTTTACGTACTGTTAAGTAAACAAAGGAGAAAGATATTTATACAGCATGTGAATGAATTAAAGAAAATGTAGGAAATACGTCAAAAGAGACTTATGTCTATGTTAATTAAAGAAAAATCGATCATAAAGATATATTGTTGTAGAAAGAGCATGATTTGATTTTAATAAGAATGTTTTATTGTCTTGACTACTGGTGTAAGTTGAATGCAAAAAGTAAAATGTAAACGTAATTTATGAATTCAAATTTTGATATTGTGTACTAACCTGAAGGTTCAACTGTTCTGAATTTCCCAGTCGCTAAGATATTGAGAACTCTTTCAGCAGTTACTCCATAAAAACAAACACCTGGAAGATATGTAGAAATTTAAGTTGAGTTGTACATCTGTTACCAAGTGAATAACTTGATTATAGCATAACTAAATATGTTTTCCTATACATTATACAGTTATGAACACTTACGATCCTACATCCTGTCGATACTTAGGTTGGTCTTAACACTAAACCCATTGAATCTGTACTGATATATCCTGCTGAACTGACTTTAAACAGAGCTAATACTAACAATGAACACTGCCCTTTCTTAGATCTTGATATCTATATATTTAACGGGCAGGTTAATACCAACATTAACGATAAAACAGATGATTTGTCATTTCCTATTGTTAATTATTCATTTTAAGATGGTGACGTTCCTTTGTCACCATCTTTTGGTGTTTATATATCTCAACTTGTTCGACTCGCTCGTGTATGTAACAACGTATTTGATTTAAACGAAAGAAATCTCTGTATTACTGAAAAATTATTATACCAGGGTTTTCGATATCACAAACTTGTCAAAACATTTACTAAATTTTATCATCGGTACTGTTGTCAGGTCATAAAAGATGGCATTTTTTAAAAATTAATATTGATTCACTCAAAGGGTTTTTGCATCGGAAATAAACACAATTATTATAAAACCAGTTGTTGGCATGATACGCGTTATGTTCTTCTCGTGTATTTTATGATGGTATAATACTAAAGCCCTAACGGGATGGATTGTGCTAGATTTTCATATGATGCACTTGAGTGATGCAGATACACTATGGAACACCTTCAAAATCAATCTTCTCAAATCTATAGAGTCAAATGTACCTCACAAAATGCTCACATACAAGCATAGACTACCTTGGATAAACAACAACCTAAGGAAACTCATTAACAAGAAAAATAAGTGTTATTTATAAAAGCAGAAATGGAAACCCTTCGAAATACAAGAAACTAAAACAAACAGTCCAAAACGAGCAAAGGAAGGCATACTGGAACTACATAGAACAAATACAACAATCAATGAACCGGACCAACATCAGTCCACAAACACAAAACCAAAAAAGCTATTTCAGTTCATCAAAAGCACTAGAAATGATAATACAGGAATTGCGCCTCTGAAAAAAGAAGGCATACTTGTAACAGACACTACTGAAAAAGCAGACATTCTAAATCAACAATTTCAGTCAGTATTTCCTAACGAACTACCAACTAATTTTCCTGATAAGGGTCCAAGCCCATACACAAAGATGCCAGAAATAAAAATCACAACACCAGGTATTCTACAAATTTAAAGATAAATTTTTGCTCATATATAATTTTAATCATATACTCCGCGCATGTAACAGTTCGTAATCTTCCATATAAATGAAGCTGTAACTGTATACCAGAAGAAGAAGAAGAAGAAGATGAAGACATAATCTTTCAATTAGTTTAATTGAGGTCTGGAGCTAGCATGTCAGTAACAGTAATTGGGCTGTTTTCTGCTCTTTGGTCGGGTTGTTGTCTCTTTGACACATTCCCCGTTTTCATTCTCAAATTTATGATTGATATTTTAATCTGGTATCGGTACGCTGTACTTTATTTCTTTTTCTTGGTACTTTTTATAACCTTTTGTCAATTTGAGGAGTCAAGCCCTATTCAACTAATTTTTACAGTGAGTTCTCATGTTATGCTGATAAGCCGCTGTCTTTGATAGAGAAGGGTAAGGCGCTCGCAAACATGTTTAACCCACCGTATTCTGTATATGCCTGCCCCATGTCAGGGGCCTGTTGGTATCAAACGATCATATTTGTTTTTCGTTAATTGTTTTTTTTTTCTTTATAAATTAGACCGTGATAAAAACACTTGGTATAAAGTCCGTCCACACATAATTTTCTGCTGGAATTTATTTCATCGAATATGTTGTGACCAAAAGTTTGCACAGCCAAAAGTATAAAACCTTGAAGAACACTGTAAACATGAAAATACATTTGTTGTATCGGTGATGCAATATTCACAATCATTCCTTAGAACAAATCGCGCAATAAGTTTCTAAAATGAACAAATAACATAACGTTTAAATTCCAATCATAGTTCTGTTGAATAAGATAACTTAAGTTTTTCTGATAATTTCTCTCATCAAAATTGAAAACTTACCCGAATCAGATGATGACTTGACCATGTGTTTGTTTGAAATTGTATCCGATGCATCCAACACACTTAAGGTAGTTAGAATAATCGAAACAGAAAGATGTATGGCCATTTTGTCCTATCAAATCAAAAGTAGAAACGTTAATCTGGAACTATTATATACTTTCAAAAAAAATAGATATGCTTGCGTGATACGACTTATGCAACAGGTGGTAACAAGGAATTATTGATAAACAAACGATATTTTCAGAAGTTCTTGGAATTTGACGATCGGCATTACAAGTTGCTTGATCGTTATGAAATATCTGTTTTGTATAAAAGTGACACCTAACATCCACGTATTCCAACATCAATCCGAATTCCGATAGCAAAAAATCTTATTCGGAAGATTCCGTATATATACTATTAGTATTTTATTGTAATTATATTACAAAATATTGATCATATGATGGTAGTATTACTAGACTTGCAATTGCTTTACATCAATCCGACACTAATTTAGTGTTTCGGCGGTTTTTGTATTATATGCTAATGATAAATGTATAACATTTATGAATGGGTTTAAGCATTGTAGGCCCTCCATCATCAGGGATTTACCTATCAATTTATTTTAATTTTGTCGTTGTAAGTAGATCTGCTATATTTTTATGCTTTTTATAAGATATTATTGGTTTGCTTGAAAATATTTCGTTGCAAACCGCATCCTGTTTTAGTAGATCCCAATGTTTACTAATGCATTGTTTTAATTTATGAATGCATGGATTGAATTTCGTTGCCAATACTAAAGGAATTTCCTTTGTGTGTTTTTTGGCCTTTTTTCTGATTAAGTTAGATCTATTACATGATAATGCCTCATTTATGTACTTTTCGATTTCAATCTCCTTGTATCCTCTATTTATTAAGTTCAATCTGAACTGTAACAAAATATATTGTAAATCAACATCATTATTTGTTGTTCTAATGGATCTGATAACTTCGCCCTTGATAAATAAAGGCAACAGTAGTATACCGCTGTTCGAAACTCATAAATCGATAGGGATAAAAACAAATCCGGGTTACAAACTAAACCTGAGGGAAACGCATCAAATATAAGAGGAGAACAACGACACAAGAAAAACACAACATTAAAATGTAACACACACAGAAACGAACTATAATATAACAATGGCCATTTTCCTGACTTGGTACAGGACATTTTAAGAAAAAAATGTTGGGTTGAACCTGGTTTTGTGGCACGCCAAACCTCCCGCTTTTATTGCAACGTCAAACACAACACCAAAATGACAACATCACATGACCGGACCACAATACAAATAAATGGGAGAACATATAGGACAAAGAAACACACGAACAATAGCTAACAAAAGGTACTAGGCTTTAAATTCAATACGCCAGACGTGCGTCTCGTCCACACAAGACCAACCAGTGACGCTCAGATGAAAAAAGTTTGAAAGCCAAAACAAGTACAAAGCTGAAGAGCACCGAGGACCAAAACTTCCAAAAAGATGCGCCTAACACGGCCAGGGTTTTCTGCCTGGGACAAGAACATCCTTATTATTTAGAATAAATGACTATATAATAGATATACATGATAAAACCGAAGTGCGGACTAACTACAGAATAAAAACGGATACATTACATAAAACAACTTAATCCAACACATAAAAATACACAGCCGAGTTAGCCAAAGCCTCAACGCACAAAGTGACGTCACATTTGAAATTCTAAAAAAACACACAAAGTGATGTCACATTTGAATTTGTAAAATATTTCCCAAAAATAAGATAGGATTAGGATTGATTCAAGATTAGATTTTTAATACTGACATTACATTTATTAATAACAATGAAAATTACAATACTTATTAATATCAAATTGTGGTAGTAATTAGATAATTAATTGTATTATCTAGCTATGTCGGTGTTTCTTCTGAATCAAACTGTAAACCACATATATCGTATAAATTTCGTTGAACCAAACTAAAATCTAATAAATGAAGGGGGTGATTAATTATCTTTACCATAACACACGAATATAACAGAAAAGACGTTAAGACATTTGACAAAATCCGACGAGAATAACAAATATAACATCAAAATTAAATACATAAATTTGGGATAGAAAAGTACCGTGACACGTCTTATAGCAATGCGGTTTCACACTCAGCAAAACCGTCACAATCGGGAATAAGTCACGTTCGGTAATTAAAAGATCAGACGACGTAATGACAAACCACAATCTAAAAAGTGGTAAAAATGTCCTTAGTTAGTTTGGAAAAAGACACATCGTATGGATCAACCAATTCGTGATAGTGTCCGTAAAATTTACAGAGTGTCATTTTTAATCTGTCCTCCTCATAACTTGGAGCAGGTTCTGCGTAAGGAGCACACTCTTGTATATGAAGTCCGTATAGTGTAAACCCTGAAAACACGTGTTGACTGTGACAGCTTTTACGATCTAGATAAAGGAAGGCATTTGTCGGTTTAAAGTGTGTTTTCACATCCAAGATATTTTCATTAGAAAACCTAGTTCCTTTGAAAATATTAACATCAAGAAATACTATTTCTTTAGATGAAAATTCTAGTGTGAATTTCAGGAACGGATGATGATTATTTGCTAACTCTAACAAATCCTTTATTTCCTTCCAATCGCCGTGATATATTAATATAATATCATCACGATACCTTCCATAGAAAAAGATATTTTTTCTATGTTCAAACTTAGAAAGAATTTCTTTCATAATTTTATACATGAGTATATCACAGATTTCCGGGCTTGGCACTGCTCCTATCGCGGCGCCTATTTTTTGCTTATAAAGCTGTCCATTAAAATCAAAAATGTTGTTCTCAAAAATTGATCTGAGGAGATAGATTAAATCATCCGTAGGTGGGCATTTGATTTTGTAATCTGATTTATCAAACTGATCATACGAAATTCTAACTGCCGATAATAATTCATTAATCGGGGAATTAGTGTACATTGATACTACATCAAAGCTACACAGCCAGCAATCTGCATTAGGCTTAATCCTTTCCAACTTGTATATTAGATCAGACGTATCCTTTATATAAGTGTGTTGTTTTTGTACCATAGGTACTAAAAAATAATCGATATAGCGTCCAATAAATTCTGTGACAGTACCAATCTGAGATATGATTGGCCGACATGGAGGCATTATGTTATCAATGTGAAACCCATATTTATTGATTTTTACTAATTCCGATTCATTTAATCGGTGTATTTTAGGCAAATTATGCATATACCCAGGCCCATAATCAATTTGATTACCATTATTAAGGTTATTAAATGTGGAATAATCTATAACACCTTTGGTGTACATGCCTTTGACATATGTATTGATATTACATCTAAGTGCTTTTAGGTCAAAGTTTTCCAACTTGGTGTAATGTTGTGTATTTGATTGGCGATCGCCTTCAAGAAGGTAATTGACCTTATCTAAAATAACAACATTATTACTTTTATCGGCTTTCTTAATATTTAAAGATTTAAAGACCCACCAACCCAGCACTATGTCTTATACTACCTAGCATAATATATCATGAACATATTTTTGCTGTGTCTTTACTATATTTTTCAGGATGATCCTTGTACAACAGTTCGGATGAACCGTCAACTAAGCAGTATATGTGGAACATCAGATTATTATCTACAGTGTAATTGTCCGTTGTTTGCTAGTATAGCAATGCCATCTCAACGTGTGTTGTGTTTTAAGACTATTTATTCTTAGACATTTATAAATACAGTAATCTGTGACTTCGTTCGTACATGTATCATGTAAGAACAAATTGTGTATGTGCCGGTTTATATGAACATTCCGTAGTGATATTTAGTTATGCGCATTTCGCTGCGATTCCTTTAAATATGCGTCATTTGGCGTCATATTTCATTTAGCATCCAAAACATTTGATATTATGGGTCTCTGTATCCCAGGACCACCACACAAAAATTTATGTATCTCTGTTTCCCAGGATTCATTTAATTGGATGCTTCATTTATTGTAAATAATTAATTATCTAGTTATCTATCTAGTTATCTATCTAGTTATCTTTTTGTAGTCTGCCAATATGAAAGGTGACTACGTTTAATTAATTATCTATTTACTATATATAGATCTTAATTATTTATCTATTTAGTTATCTAGTTATCGTGTCGTAGTTTGCCAATATGAAAGGTGAATACGTTCATTCAAATATCTACTTACTATACATACATATATCTTAACTGTTTACCTAGTTATATGTGTTTATAATTTTATAATGAAGCTGTGGCCAAATACTGCCAATACCGTGTTTCTAATCATTGCGCATCAATAATAATGATTAATGATTCATCATTTAACAGAGAAGAAATGCCGGACCTCTGTGAAACACTTAGATTGTTTCGAAATTTTCGAATTTGCATTGACGATAGTTCGTGCTTTGTATTAAACAGGTAATTTTCAAGGGTGTTGCAGGTTAATGGTGGCGTGTGTCCAGATTTAACTCTGAAGGGATGAATTTCATCCAAGTTACCATGATATTAGTAACGACATCTCATTTTTCTGGCTAATTCATCGAAATCATGTAATAAATCCTGCATTGCTCTTTTGACTGACGGTGAAGGTATGAATTTCAAACCTCTGGATAATACCAAATACTCGTCATCAAGTAATTTTCTATGCGAAAGATTAACAACCTGTTTTCTAGCTTGTGATAGCATAAATTTTAGCTTACTTTGCTGCATTGCAGCTTTATTTTTCAGCCTACGTTTATGTTTATTTCTTTTAGCATATTTCTTATAATGTCTAGCCATATCTGTGATCACAGAGACTAGTATCTGAAAGACTATTATCAATGCAATATCAACAAAACGAAATGGTAGGAGGCGTGGTGTATTTGCCTAAACTGATTTTCATTGGCTCAGTTACTTCTGTAATTATGTTAAGAGTAATAAGTACTTCAATACATACCATTTTAATGGAAAATATAAATTCCAAAATTACATTATAAATAAAAACAATAAATATTATTGTTTTTTTTTTTTCACTAGGTATCAAGTGCCAAGCACTAGTTATTTCAAATAAACCAATAAAATATTTATTGTTTATTCCTAATTCTTCAGAATCTGTTTT